CAGCACACCGGTGTGTTGGAGAGCTAATCCACAACATTTACATTCTGAATAGTCAGCTTGTTTACGTGGCAACTGTTGTATATATTGGCCTTTTTCCAAAAATTTATATTAAGAATAATTCTGCCAATATTTTTTAAAAATAATAATCAATCGGGGTGTAGCATAGGGCACAAAAAAAATGTGTAACAAAACACCCTCACCCCGCTGCCTCTCACAAGCCATACAAGAAGGCAGCTAGAGATAAGCCATAAAATGTAATAAAACCCCGGTGCAGTGTGGGGGGCTTAAAACACAGACACAAAACAGGGCAAACGAACATTACAACAGTTTTTTTACGGTAAAAGTTTGAAACTTAACGACAAGAATAAATAGACATTATAGACTGCCAGTAACACACTCAAATTAAAAACCAGACTGCAATCTACATTAGTGGCTTTTATGATTACTTATTTTATTTAATCCTTATTCACCTCATATATTGGTTATTGTATCTTTCTATCTACGTGACTTTACCGAAAGAACCAAAGGATATGAATTCCAGTAGCCACGAAAACTTAAGTAAAAACTTAGTTATATCTCCAACCTCAGGATATCAAACTATAACTCGAGAATAAGAAGCACGGATCCCTGGCGACACATACGGAGAACGAGTTAATAAAACCCTCGGAATACCTGTGGTAACAACTATGGTAGATCACAAATCTTGGTTTAACATAAACCAAATAATAATTATGAAGTATTAGACCAAGGGCCATCCAGAAGAAATACAATGCGAAACACATCAATCACACACGACCAAGATAATATGTATTCCATAGAATCAGAGCCTCCCAACCGCCTTTTATTCCAAACCACGACGGACGTACTGTAAACACTGCTCAAAACATACCTTGAGTCACTTAAAGAGTCAACACCGCAAAAAGGGATACATACTAAGGGGTGCAAAATCGTGCTTATTTTTCTCTCAACTCACAACCCATAAGAGTGAACGGAAAACATGGTAACGGGTGGTCACACTTCAAGAGACGGGGCCCCTCTTTGTGAGAGACAAGAAAATGTAACACCTCCAACTGGGAGGGAAGAGGGGGTGGGGGGAGAACGCAGCCTGACAAAAGGAACCCCTCCTCCTTACAGATTAATTATTGCAGAAAGTTGAAAAAGTAGAAAAACACACTTAGGGGCAATTGAAAGCATCTGTTTCCACAGTTGCCGAGATGGCTTGAGAAGGGGGACAGGAACCAGACCTTGATGAGACTTAACAGTTACTTCAATACATTAGAACAGACACACGCGCACGTACACCGGGCTAAAACAAACGAATTCCGTTCCCTTGTGAGGAGTTGAGCCGAGGTAGGAGAATTTCAGATATAAGCAAGAATACAGCCCACACAATTCAGTCTTGCTGCGGCAAGCTCCGGGGGTGGGCCCCGCAATCGACCAAGGATGGCGAGGCTTGCAGAGTAACGATGTGTCACCGAATATGAGTTCGGCGCTGACAGACGAAGCATCGCTAAAAGCTGTATTCTACATTGAGTGCCAGCTCCCACCAGTAGCTGCAGCAAGAGAGAAAGAGAGAGAAACAGTGACGAGCAACGACAAGCAATCAACCAAGCGAGCATCGCACAGGACCAGCAGCAGCAGCAGTGGCTAATGACTACCCACGAGCGTGTGGACTTGGAAGCCGAGTACACTCCTGCAGAGGTCAGGTCTACAAGGACCAACCGTGCCTGGTGCAAGGGAGAGAGCGTGACCGGCGCAACCTAGAAAGAGTGTCAGCATCGGCAACCAGCGAACGAGCTGCGAGCGCAATCGTGCATTGCCAGAGAGTACGGAGCAAGAGAGAGAGAGAGCGCATAACCAGCGCAACCGAGCAAGTTTTGGCACCGGCGACCTGCGGACGAGCTGCGAGGGCAATCGGGCACCTTCAAAGACAAGCGACGTGCCGACTCATCTCATCCAGCAGCAGAGAGGCCTGCAGCTGCCGCCAAGAGAGAGCGAGCGCCGTGTGGATGACATGCCCACACACACACACGACTCATCGTTCAGCAGGGAACCAACGAATTTTTGGTACAAGAAACGCCCCACCTCGGCGTCTGTTTAACGCAAAGAGTTGAGCAAGGAGAAGATACACCAACGCACACATAACGCACATATTGGGACTAATAAGATTACTCCAAAGTTTTCTTTGTGTTTCAAAAAGGGTGGCCATCCTAAGGTGGTGCGTCAACTATTAGCTGATCGTGAAAAGCATTGCTGCTCATTGAGTTACGTGGATACGATCGTTTAGAAGTATTTTAGTCATTCTTGTTGTTAATTGCATAATCTGTACCAATGAATTAATTGATGAAACTAACATTTATAAACAGCTATGTTACGAATCTACACACTCACAGGGAAACTATTGTGTTAAAATCTTTCTTTTGATCACAGAATCTTGCCCGCGAATTTATTGAAGCCTTTTAGCCAGTTGATAAGCATTTGCTCGACAAACAGGCACATTTAGTTAATTGCATAATCTTACCAAATAATTCATTGAGATCTACTTTTGCTTTCGGGACATGTTTCTTTATTACTGTTCGGATGAATATTGTCTCATTAATTTTAAGGACTTTTTCCTGTCGCCGAATATGCTCACCTTACTCTGAGGAATGAGCCAATTGTTCTGTTACCCAGTTTAACAAACGTAATCATTGAGGGTTAAATGTACGGATCAATGAAGAGGACATTTCCAGGAGTACTGTGTTGACATTCCTCGCATATTAGAGTGTTATGTTTTGATGTATATTAAAGTTGCTTAACACAGAAGAGTCTGAGTGGTGCCTTCCTAAGTTCATGCTTAATAGTCTTAATTATAAGAACTGTATCGTGCGGAGAGATCTGAATTTTGAGACCTGACATAAACACACTAAAACATAATCAGTAAAAGCGAGAATCATTGTATTATCCTGATTGATAATACAACCCTAGAAGCAGAGCCTAATTAGCACCATTACATACACTTGCATAACTTCATACAATTACACCTTCATTGTATTATCCCGATCGATGATACACACAAGACAACGAGGCAGAGACTAATTATGACAATTGCATATATTAGCATAATTACATTCACTTGCAGAATTTGATGCAATTGCACCTTCATAATTGGCATAATGTATATTTCGCATATTTTGCATAATTAGCATAATTGTATAATTTAGAATAACTCTGCAACTTATACATTGCAAAATTTTCATTCAATTTTTATTATTTTTAGTTATATTTCAAGACCCAATATATACAACACAACCCTTACTATATGGCCGTGTTGGGTGGTGGCTTCTTTAACGACACAGATATATTTACGCGATCTAACCCCAAAAAAACCCTATATTATGAATGAATATTGGTCTCGAAAGCCTGGCTACGTGTTAAACCAAAACAAGAGATCCATTCTCTCAAAGCCCCCGCCAGATGGCGGCGTGAGAGCGTGGATTGTGGTGCGCGTGTCTGTGGGGCTCTTCCACCACCGCCGGTCCAGCGCTACAAACCCGGCGACCCGAGTTCCATTCCCATCAGTGACGATTATCTGAACCGGTTCTGGGTCTCGCCCTAGGTCGACTCAGCCTTAAACGAGTACCCGGCGCGGTTTTGTAAACATCTCCACGAGAGAGACAAAGGCGGTCAGGCGTGGCGCTGGCCACCCACCCCCTCGTGTGCCGTGCCGGCGTTCATAGGTGCTCGCTAACAGCACTTGCCCCAACAGTCTGTTACAGGCTATACGGGGGATCTTTGTCTTTGTGGGGTCTTCCTCACTCGGCGGTGTCTCTCATCACCACCCCGTCCTGCGCTACATACCCGACGACCCGAGTTCGATTCCCACCCCCTAGGTCGACTCAGCCTCAAATGAGTACCTGGTGCGGTGTGTGAACAGAAAAAGCATCGCCACCGGGGAGACAAAGGCGGTCGGGCTTGGTTGTTGGCCAACCCATCCCCCTCGTCGTACTGCGACGGCCTTCGTAGGTGCATACCTGTCGACTCCTTAATCAGTGCCCTCTGCCTTATTACAGACCAATTCAGACTTTATTTGGTCACCCACGTGCCCTAAAACATCTCAACGTTCATCCTACAACGTCCCATCGCAAGGGAGAAACACAAACAAAGAGACAACACATTAAATAAATGTTACCCGTATTTAAACGGCTGGACCTGAAAACTCAATTTCCCTTAATTATAGATTTTCAATGTCCCTGTACAAGAATACAGGACAACCCGTATGGGTTTATGACAGGTAAGCAGTGGCAGCACTTGCTCCTACAGTCTGTGAAGGCTACACGGAGGGGGGAGCTGAGTCTTGCCGCCGGGGGAGAGGGTAGAAGGAAGAGAGATATTTTTAGAAGAGAGACTTTTGACTTTTAAGCAACATTCATTGCCGCCAGCAGCAAAAGCACTGGAGGCGATTTCAATATGAAATACACAAAGTCACCAGCAAAGAAATGAAAATAAACGCTACAAATCGACGCGCTGTGGCGCTAAAAGCACCGCGCAGAGAGAGAGAAGAGAAAGAGGAAATAGTTTTACAAGAGGGAGAGGAGATGCTTTAGAAGAGGATAGTGAGAGGAGATACGTTCAGAAGAGAGACAGAGAGAAGATAGAGGAGATACGTTCAGAAGAGAGACAGAGAGAAGATAGAGGAGATAGAATAGAGAGGAGATACGTTTAGAAGAGAGACAGAAAGAAGATAGAGTCAGATAGAGGAGATACGTTTAGAAGAGAGAGAGAGTAGAGATAAGATATAGTTTTAGAAGAGAGAGAGAAGACAGGAGAGACTTTTAGAAGAGACAGAGAGAAGAGAGAGGAGATAGAAAGAAGAGAGGCGAGAGGAGATAGAGAGGAGAGATAGAAACAAGAGAGGAGAGAGAGGGGGGGGGGTGGTGTGGGCGTGTAAGAGCAGCACATTTGGTGGCTTTTGGCAGCCGGCGCGCGTGACGCTCCCAGCCGGCGCGCCACACCCACAGAGCCGGCCCCGTCGGTGGCGCTCGCTCCGCTCCTCGCTCCACACCTCGCTCCACCGCGTTCGCTCGCTCGCTTGCTGAGATCGGGTCACTGGCTTCGCTAGGATCGGGTCCTGAGATCGGGTCACTGGCTTCGCTAGGATCGGGTCCTGAGATCGCTGCCCACGGCTTCGCTGAGATCGGGTCTTGAGATCGGGTCACTGGCTTCGCTGAGATCGGGTCCTGAGATCGGGTCCCCGGCTTCGCTGAGATCGGGTCCTGAGATCGAGTCCTGAGATCGCTGTCCACGGCTTCGCTGAGATCGGGTCCTGAGATCGGGTCCCCGGCTTCGCTGAGATCGGGTCCTGAGATCGAGTCCTGAGATCGCTGTCCACGGCTTCGCTGAGATCGAGTCCTGAGATCGGGTCCCTGGCTCCGCTGAGATCGGGTCCTGAGATCGGGTCACTGGCTTCGCTGAGATCGGGTCCTGAGATCGGATCCCTGGCTTCGCTGAGATCGGGTCCGACGACGCGGAGGACGACTTGAATGGACGAGGACGCGGCTCCGTTCGGAGAGGGCGCGGGCGAGAGTTTCGTGGCCCGAGACTGAGAGACGCGCTTCGGGCAAGGGGGGCGCTGAGTTGAGTGGAAGTCTCCCGAGGCCACCACCACCACCACCCACCACCCACCATCACCACCCACCACCATCACCCACCACCACCACCACTCCTGGTGCCGTCTCCAGGTGCTGATGGGGACCCTCTTCACGTGGAGCTGCGCGCGTTGCCGTTGTGTTTGTCAGTGACGTGGAGTTCCGCAGAGACCGGCGAGATGGTTCAGGCGATGTCTGTAGAGACTTGAGTTGCGCCGAAGGTGATTTACATTGTTCATGGCCACGTAGCGTGAGATCGGCCATAGACGTCGGGGCCCTGTTGAGGCCACATCGGAGCCATGGAACCTCTCAAGGGGATTTTCTCTCGGACCAAAAGTTTCCGCGATTCACTGCGCAACAACGATTCTCAGCAGCAGCAGCAGCAACATCAACAGCAGCATCCACAGCAGCAGCAGCAACAGCAGGAGCAGCCATACAGCTGCACCAACCCACTTTGGACGGCCGTGTTTGACTACGAGGCGAGTGCCGAGGACGAGTTGACGCTGCGTCCCGGCGACATGGTGGAGGTGCTCTCCAAGGACTCGGAGGTGTCCGGCGACGTGGGCTGGTGGACGGGCAAGCTCAACAACAGGGTGGGCATCTTCCCCAGCAACTACGTGACGTGCAGCAAGTCTCGGGGCAGCAGCTACGCCAAGCTGCACAACGAGAGGCCGCCGGGTTTGTTCGCGGATCCTCCGGTCGAGGTGGGTTTCGCGGAGCTCTCCCTGGAGGAGATCATTGGCGCCGGAGGATTTGGCAAAGTCTACAGGGGCACGTGGCGCGGCGAGGAGGTGGCAGTGAAGGCCGCTCGTCAGGACCCCGACGAGGACATCAGCGTGACGATGGAGAACGTGAGGCAGGAGGGGAAGCTCTTCTCCATGCTGAAGCATCCGAACATCATTGCGCTGAAAGCGGTGTGCCTGCAGGCGCCCAACCTGTGCCTTATCATGGAGTACGCGCGGGGAGGTGCTCTCAACAGGGCTCTGGCCGGACGCCGCATCCACCCGCACATTCTGCTCGACTGGGCCGTGCAGATCGCCCGCGGGATGAAGTATCTTCACGATGAGGCCATCGTCAATATCATCCACCGTGACCTCAAGTCCTGCAATGGTGAGCCGGGTGGTGGCGGTGGTTGGTGGTGGTGGGATTAGATGGGACGTGTTTGAATTTCACGTGTTAACTGGTCTCGTAATTGGTCTTGGCCACGACAGACTCATGGAGACTATCACCGCTGTCATCTTTGTTAATCTTCAAACTCAGTTTCCTCATCACGTTAACTAACATTGCCAATGGGATGTTTAATTGTTATACAAATTATTACCATTGCAGTTGTCGTGAAAATGTTCTCAGTGGGCATCGCCACTGTCAATATTAATAGCATCTTCATCTGGGGATGTCCATAGAGTTTGGTTTGTTGACCTTTCCCCGAACCTCCGATTAGCACGGTTGGTTACGTACGGTGTGAAAGAAGTTCAACATACTGTACATATATACATCATCATTAATCTAATCTTTTTTATAATCTTAATCATATTCAATCACTGTCATCATTAATCAGTCATCAACCAGTGTCATTGTATTGCACCATCATCCTCGTCATCTTCATTAACTCCGTGAAAAAGTCCAAAATGTTAGCTTAAAGATCACATTCAAGAGTATACATTATATGTATAGTATGGTTATGCTTTTGACATATTAGGGTCGTAGCAATGCAGTTTTTACACATTACTACGTGGTCTGTCCAGTGTCCATTTCTCTGCTAGAGTTGTAATTAATACAGTATCTGGAGAACACCAAATTTGAGTAAAACGTTTTTCACGTGATTCTGCGAGATGCTATGTCTGGACGTTCATTATACCTCCAAAATGTCGTACAAATGGTAGCTTTATAGCAAGGCACTGTCCATGATGTATATATTTTTCAAATCCTACTTTTACCAGCATTGGGCAGCATCCGAATACCCCGTGCAATCTCACAAAAAAGTTTCTGCTTTTCATTTTTTTCTTGCCCCCACGAAATGAAAAGCTGCACTGTTTAAGTCACATGCGCACAGTCTCTCCAGTAGTTTCGAACACTGTCCCAAAGTGCCACGTGTGTGTGGACCAGAGTCGCACATCTCTCGCTGTCTGGCGCCAATGAAGGCTTGCTGTCTGTCATGTGACCGTATCCCACATGCCTGGCGGACGTGGAACCCACGCGCCACAGCAGAGACAAGAAGAAAGGCATCTCGGTGGCTGATAAGCCAGATGCAAATAACACGTGTTGAATGTTTGCAATCGCCTTGCAAACTTTAAAAATGTACTTTTTAAACATTGAAATGACTGCACCACTTTTTATTTGGTGCTGGTGTCTTTTTTGGGTATTAATTGGCAGCAGGGCTGTGCTTTGATCAACAATTTGCGACGATTTGATTACGTGCGGCGCGCTTGAACGTCACATTTGCGTGTGTTCTCGTGGGGGTTGGTGGTGCAGTGGTTTGTGCGCTGCGCTCTGAACCAAATAAACTTCTCAGCTGTAGAGACCAACACCATTGGCAAGTGATACAAACGTAATGCATAAATATGTTCTGAGCCTCCCCAACAAAGCTCGGCTTTGTTACGGTTTGATATCAAAACTGGGGAGGCAAAAGTGACCAGGCACGGTGCTGAACGCCTTTGTGTTTCATCCTGGCCTTAATAGATGATGCTCACCCCAACGATATGTGTGGCTGTATGGGGGATCTTTGTGTGTGGTAGTGATGGGGGTGCTGGAGACTGCACGTGGTTTTCTTTGGCAAATAATGGTTCCGGGAAGGATGTTACTCTTACGTCAGTGGCCTGTCTAGGGATGTGTTATGGGACAGGATGGAGAGGCCTAACCTGTTGACTGCTTTTTGATAGAACTCGTCTCAGGAATTTTGGGGCTGTTGGAGTGAAGCCCATTTTAAGAGTTGCAAGAGCACTAAAGGGTGAAGGTTATCTGTTTTTAAAAAACACATCCTCCCTACTGTGAGGTCGCTGGCTAAATGAACAAGTGACACTTATTTGAATTAGCCCAATTTAGTGCTTGTGAGTGTTGCTGCAATTATACGTTCATGTCGATACTGCCAGGATGTGAAGCACCCAGGTCATGCCTTCGCTCTGCACTGTCCCCTGAGGTTCTGAGATTTTTTTGTCTGTGCCCGGGAACGGATATGTGTGCACCCTTAAAAGGAATTGTTTGGCTCATACGTGGCTGGTAAGATAAAAAAAATTATTTGACATTGTGTGCTCTAAGTGACAAAGATGAACAAAACCAAATTGCCTCTCCTGTGGAGGCCCTGGCACCCTTGTTTACACAGGAACTGACTCACAAATGTGTCAGAATTGAGCGTAGGAGTGTGTGGGTGTGTTTGGGTTCTGGATGCCTCGCTGTCAGCCACAGGTAAAACATGTACGTGGATGGCCAGGAGCTGTTTTTTTTTCGGTTACAAATGCCCCACTGCGTCACTTCCTGTTTGTAAGGGTAACCAAGCGAAGTGCGTGACTGAGACGCATCGTACTGGGTGTCCTGTTGTTCAAAAAGTCACAATCATCAGATTGCGGCCTAATTCCTCGGCCTTGGTTATGTAAGGCAAGTTGTCACAGGGATTCCGAAAATTACATGTCACTGAAAATGTTGAATTAGTTCTGGAAATATATTTGATAGTTCCTCTGTGCCTGGTTAACGTATTGACTACACAGTAGTCTTGAAATAAGTGGCAACAGATTTGGTGCTCAATAACATTTAAACGATGGACGTTGAAATGTTGCTGTGGGAAATGAGGGGTGGTAAGAAATAATTGAAGATAAGTTATAAAATTAAATCGCCATACAAATGTTAGCCATGTCTTTATACATTCGTTTGTCTACAGTAATATACTACTGTACGGTCCTTGAATTTATGGTAAAGTGTATTATATTGCAATTGGCATTACATCTAGTTCAATGTCAATTCTAACTATTATTATTATTGTTGTCCGGTTTAAAAACATTGTCGTGCCATAACAGAGCTTAATAAATGGAGCCTATTTGTGAACGACCACAGTTCTATGAGCTCCCCCAACCCCGCACCTCAATCAAGGACATCACGAGCTCAACTCCCATTTTGGGGTCGACTCAACTCCTCTTCTTTCTATGGTCAATCACAATGAGTAACGCTTTGTGGGACGGCAACAGCGATTGTCCTATAGTCCTCATTGGAGCATATTTGTGGACGACCTCATAGGACAATCAGTCTCCACCATAGAAATGTGAAGTTTCCAGCAATTTCTCAAGACTGCCGACATAGATATAAGCACGACCCAATGTTTGTTCACAGAGACTTTTGTTTTTACTGTTATGCGACGACAACCAAATAGTTTTCCTAAATTTGAAGCTTTCGTGACTGCAATGATTCATATTCTCAGGTTTTTTCCGGTAAAGTCACGTAGGTAAAACATTTAAATTAATAAAAGTAAAATAAAAATCACGACGTTTTGGAGGCAAAGCAAGCTTCCGTCTTCAGGTGGAACCGTCACAGCACGACAGCTGCATCAAGGAAGTTTCAACAGCTATCTTGCTGTGACGGTTCCACCTGAAGACGGAAGCTTGTGTTGCCTCCGAAACGTCGTGATTTTTATTTTACTTTGATTAATTTTAATTTTTTACCTACGTGATTTTACCGAAAAAACCTAATAATATAGTTTTCCTAAACTCGGTGACACGATTACAATCCATGGGCGAAGAACATCGCCCCTGTCCCGTTTGATCCTGCATTAACGCGAAGATGTTTCAGAAGCAGCCGTCAGGTTTTTGGTGCCACCTTGCAAGGTGCGTGTCCGTTCCTGCGGGAGTCCCACCGGCGCTGTGTGGATGGCGCACCGCGATCAAATGTCGCGACTGGGTGTCACCGCTGGCGATGTGAACGGAAGCCACGAGCTCTCGGTCCGGCAATCACGAGGGCCATTCACTCGACGGAATTTTCCACTAAAAACGGGAATGCTTTCTTTTAACCCTTTTATTGCACTTTGTAATGCGCTTCAGTCAAGCATTCGTTCAAACTTGCTACAATTTTTGACGTGTCAATGACATCGTGTAAGAGAATGCAATATTCTCCACATTACAGTCTTGTGAATGTATGCACGCCCCCTTTTTCAAACAATGTGCCCTTTGTGAACTTTTTTTTCTACCCAAGTTTCAAAATAAGGTAATACAAATGTTCACGATGGTGGAAACGGGCTTTGCAGGTAAAATCCCCCTGGAATGAAAGCCCGCCGGTGTGTCTGGTGCGGTTGACAGCGGCGCGTTGTCAAAATTACAGGTCTCTTCACCGTCTGCTTTGGTGCTGGAAATCCCCAGTCCCCAACGTGAAAACAATGTTCACGGAAATGGCCCCGCAAGGTTTCGCAACACCACTGAGCGTGGCCACCCGCCTGCTGCCAAGGTGCAGTCAGGTGTTTGCGTTGTGTAGCTGCCAAACCATCGACATTAGTTTTATTTGTTGTACATATTTTTTACGGCTAGAAGGTTTTCATGAGGGGTGTACAGCGAGCTAGTTGCCTGCTCCCCAGGCCACAGGCTAGCAGTGGTGCAGCTGCCCATGTGTCTTTCTAGATGTTTCGCCCGCGTGTCTTTCTAGATGTTTCGCCCGCTCGCAGTATTGCTGCCATCGTCAATAGTTGTGCTTGTTTTTCAGTGAGAATGTCAGCCCACTCTGGGTCTGCTCCCAGACTGAAGGCCACTGCTCCTGACAGGCAGCCCGGTGTTGCAGAATCTCGCAGCGGGGCCCATTCGCTAGCTTTCTTCGTCATCAGTCATGATCTGCTGGATAAAGGTCTTCCAAAGCCCACGGTAGTCTTTCACAGTCCTGCACTGTAGCATGCATTCTTCATCAGTCCCATTAGTTTACATGCTCTTTAATTATCGGAGTGTTCATCATCTGTTATGGGTGTCAGCAACATAAAATCGTGAAAAATAGTATTGTCCATATTCTCAGGTTTTTTCGGTAAAGTCACGTAGGTAAAAAATGTAAATTAATAAAAGAAAAAGAAAAAGTAAATATATTATATTATTTTTATTTTACTTTTATTAATTTTAATTTTACCGAAAAAACCTAAGAATATGAATACTTTC